ATATATATATATATAAATTGACTGTTTATTCACCCAATTCGCTCAACATGTTTTTGATCCCAGTTAGAGCAACTGCGACTTGACTTTGATCAAAGTTCAAGTATTGGGATTGTTTTCATTATTATCGTCTTGAGTCTTTCGTATTAAAATCTCAGTTAAAAGACGATACTAGACTAATTTCAGCTATGTAATAATTGAACATCATGTCAAAACAAAAGATAATCGACTTTAGGGTGATGATTCGAAATGCTGAATAATGACATAAATTCTATTACATTTCCATCAACTCCGACACTACTAAAGCATTACTATCACCAAATAGTTGAAGCTTGAGTTAACACCACTGGCTAAGCTAACGCTACTAAAGCTAAAACTCTTTCAATAAGTTTTATTGAATATTGAAAGTTTATGCAAATATCAGTAATTATTTTAAAATTTCAATTAAACAATTCAGTGTGAATAGCAAAACTTGAAAGTGCAGGATACCTCCTTCTGCATCCGGAGCAAATCTTCCTCAGTATCATTCGCATCCGGTCGTTCCAGTCTCATCGTTTCCATCTTCAGTTGACTACTTCCACTAAAAGTTGCAAACAGTTTAGCACGAAATTGATACTAAAATGAGTGGTGCACAAAGTCTAGGAAAACTAGGAGAGTGCTAAAGTGAGGTAAAAGTGACCAGTAAGACTGAAGTGAAAGTAAACTTATGGAAATGAAGTCACAGTGACCGAAAGAGGAATGAGGTGAGAGTAACCAGTAGGACTGAAATGAGATTGACCAACGAAACTTCTAAGAAGTCTCAATTAAAGCTTAATATTATCGTCTGACCTTACGATAAGTTTTATAAAATAGAGAAAAAAGAAACTTTTAAAATGAAAATGAAAATTGTAAATAATGGAAAGATTTCGTTAACAAAATTTGATGCAACAATACATTAATACTATACAAATCTCAAAATGGAAAAGAAAAATAAAAAATAAAAAAGTGCGATACGGTGAATTAAGAAAACTGATAAGAAGTACTACAAAATGCTGCCAGAGATTGAGAGAAAAGATAAGATAGAAACAATTCTCGTTGACGAAGAGAACAAGAAAAAGAACGAAATAACATGTGAGAGGGACAAATTAAACAAAAATTGAAGTGAGAGATAAAGATTTTCATAACGTGTATTACAATTTTCAAACGATTCCTTATTAATTGACGCCATAAGGATTCGATTGTCAACCGAGGCGGTAATGATCCATTGAAGATTGTATATGATGGGCTCCGCGGAGATACATTGAATATTTAGGGTTTCAGTCGAAGAAATAATGATAAGGTGACCGTAGTATTTCAATGAAAATTTAATCCAATAACATTTTCGCTTGAGGTCTTTCGGTGAAAAACGACCGCCATTGAGTGGTAATTCCAGGAGGAATTAGGCAGTTGTTATTATTTTCAGGTAGTTATGTTATGATTTGAAATGCTTTCATTCATTGTTTTTCAGGAATTCTTAACATCATTAGCAATGACGCTTATTGACGAATTATTGGAAAAAGGCGAAAATGGAATTGGTCGTAAAGAGAAATTTTTGGTACGAGCAAATTATTCAGCACCTTCGCATTCTTTCAGTTATTTTGCAAATACTTTTGATAAAGCGATCACATTCATTAATGATATCCACGATAAACCAGTCCCTATTCAAATATGTATTGGGTCTACTGCTGGATGGCAAGTTTTCTTTTTCTACATATCTGATTAAATCAGTCAAATACTTAAGAATGAACAATGATGAGAAATGTCATTAAAGATTGATATTCTATGATGAGAACGTTGACTGAATGTTAACCATTGTATAACAAATCATCAACTCAAGTGCTGGTCGATGGAAAAAAAATCGAAAAAGAAAAAATGAAGCCAAATATAAATAGCTCCTTTGTATTTAGTATATTAATTAGTTAGGGAGTGTACTTTTGTGGTTATCGAAAATTTTCTATTTTCAGTAATTAAAGAGAGATTTATTAGAATAAAAGAAACGAGAACTTTTTATACTACTAATTCATATTTCTCATAATTCATTTCTTTCCTTCGCATATGTAAAGGTTTTTCTTGAAATGTAATCATTTTTTTATGAAGTATTTAGTAATATTTCAGGATAACAGGATATATGTTCACAAAGGGAAGCAAAATAATAGCAGGTGTTATTGGGTGCTCTTTGATTCTACTCCAGGTTCTTTCATCATTTTTCTTGGTCGATATTTTTTACTTGATGCCTATTGAAGGCATAATCAATTGGTCTTTTCTTCCAAATGCTAAAATTTCATTGCTCTTTTAGGATAGAGGATGAAGGTTTGATAGGACTGGTATATTCCGAATGCCATGTAGCAGCTGCTATAATCACATAATGTTTTAACTTCGTAATTGTTATCTCTCATTTTTGTTTCATATTTTGTTTCAATGTCTTCAAAATATCTGCAACCTACACTCATTTTATTGCATTTTAACGATGTAATATCATTGTAACGTGGTATTCTGTCCGTAGCGTCATCTCACTCCAACTTGAAATAGATCCTCTAACGGCCATGATTATGTTTCTAGAGACATTCACCACTATCACTACCAGTCAGATGGATCAAACCTATGAGCGTGCGGCAAATGTGATTGCCGCAATAAAACCGTATATTCATTATGTTATATTACCTGTTGGCCTTTACGCTGCTAATCGTTTCCTCTGTTCTCTAATACCTGGGCCACAGCATCGCCCGAAACTGGATTTACGTGATCGTGTTGTATTAATCACCGGAGCCAGTTCGGGTCTTGGCCGAGAATTAGCGATTTGTTTTTATCGAAGAGGTGCTAAAGTAATTTTAGCAGCACGAAGTATTGATAAACTGAAGGAACTCTGTGAAGAATTGAAGTCAATGTCAGATATCATCAATAGGAATGAACCAGTTTACAAATATTTGGATATTAGTGATCCAAATAGTGTCATGGAACTCATCTCATGTGCTATCAGTCAGCGAATCGACGTTCTTGTTAACAATGCTGGTTTAAGTATGCGTGGAAGTTGCAAAGATACACCAATGGATGTACATCGGCAGGTTAACCTTCAGTGCACTTTATATTTCATATGTTTATATATATCTGTATATGTATATAAAAGTTTCCAAAATCACAGAAATTGCTCAGATCGTTGGGATGTCTCTTGACTGTTGGAATGCGATGGCAATGCGATGATAATGTTTATCGTTTCTAGAAACATTTATTAAATTCTAAAATATTTTCTATTAATCTGATTTTCCATTGTTTTTGTTCAAATTCAATAACCTAAGTATGATGCATGGTATGTTTTTGGAGCTTCGTTAAAACTTTTGAGACACACATTGAGTTTGAGCGACATTTACGAGAGCAGAGTGTTTTCTTAATGTAATGATTTATATCATAGACATAGAGTGAGCTATATTCTTCATATGTGGCATCCAGGATTACCGTTATCATCAGTTGTCAATTGTGATTACCATTATTATCAATTGTTTGTAGTGATGTGAGGTATGTTAGCAA